TGCACAGACATGTGTTATGGATGTGTTTTTACTGGATGAGAATTCGTCTCTCTGTCTGTCTGTGTGTTTGTGTAGTTTGTTTTATTAGTTCTTAACATATTGTCTTATTCCATTGTTTTCATATTGTTTTCATTATATTTTAACGTTATTTCGTTTATGTAGTTGGTGTGGTTGGTGAGGTCATGACGTTTTTGTTGGTGTGGTTGGTGAGGTCATGACGTTTTTGTTGGTGTGGTTGGTGTGGTCATGACGTTTTTGTTGGTGTGGTTGGTGTGGCTGGTGTGGTCATGACGTTTTTGTTGGTGTGGCTGGTGTGGTCATGACGTTTTTGTTGGTGTGGTTGGTGTGGTCATGACGTTTTTGTTATCGTTTTTTGAAGTTGTTGTAGCGATGTGACGTTGAAGATGATGTTTCCAACATAGCAGTTGATGTTGTTGTATTGTTGGCTGGTGCCTGAATGGCTGTCTTATGTTCTTCCATTCTTTCTTTATAATGTCGGGTTGATTTTGCTAGCTCTTCACAACTCTCCTTAATTTCATAATGATCTTTCATTGCAAGTTGCATACGTGTTCTGTATATATGAATATATTGTTGCAAACTCGCACACACACGCACACGCCCACACGCACACTTTTGTATATAATTATTTACTCGCTACTTGTGTGTGAACTTTTTGACTGGTTTTAACGTTTTAACCGCGTTCGGGTAATCTTTCAAAGAAATAAATTTTAGAATCATTCCCGCCGCGCGTTACTTTCTTAGAACTGATTGACGCTCTCTTGAATGGAAATGTGTTTAGTTTAGTTTGTTTGGTGATACGAACACATTGTCACGCTTTCTCTCTCTCTCTCTCTCTCTCTCACACACACACACACACACTCACACATACAGATTACGTATCAAGTACGAATAACGGACGAAAACTAATTTATAATTTGGTTTTAAAGATGAAATATTGAAAAAGAAACAAAAATAAATTAAAAATATCGAGCATCGTTTAGACAGTTGATAAAAAGTGAACAGTTGACAGAGTATGTCCAGTTACGTTAAGATGCTTAAAAACAACGGCTTGCGGAGGATTCAACTTTGATTGGCAGTTAGATTGGTTTTCTTGCTGACGGAAGATGAAGACGAACCGCTGGTCTCTGATCGGGTGAAGACAGACGACCACCCTCTCCTTATGTGCTTGTTCCGCATGCAGTGGTACAAAAATATGAACAGGCCCTGCAGGCAGATGAAGACCTCGAAAATGATCTGCGTTTAAGTTTCATTTAGGTGTGATGTTACAATTGTTTGTTGGAAATTGTTGTTAAAAATTTAATTTACTCGCATTCGTAAATGGGACGTTTTGAAACATGACGAAGAAACAGAAAAATCTGGTTATTAAATTAATTAAATCACAATCGTGGTCCAAATCTAACTGCAAAAACTTTCAGGAGGTTTTCTGACTCCTTAGTTTTAAAGTTGAACACTACAAAGGCATTCAACAGCCAAGGAACTCCCAGCAGAACGAGCAACGTGACTGCTCCAATAAGACGAGATACCAGCGACTTTTTAGAAGTTTCTAAAATAGTTTTTTCACATTTTCAGACTATAAACTTATCAATAGTATTTGTGAGTGTTGTCATCTTTAAATTGAAAGAAAGATTAAACCTCACTGACCGCTGTCGACCGGGGAGAGGTTAGCGAGGCATTTACAAATGAGTGCGAAGATGATGACATTGTGCAGGACGATGAAGATCATGGGAGTCAGCCAGGCAAAAACCATCGTTCGAAACTTTAACCCACATCTGAACGTACAATTTTTCAACTTATATAAATATAATTTTTCGTATATTAATATAAATTTTTTCACAAGTTGTGTATGTATCGAGGCAGGTGGGGAGTTCTTAGGGAAAAATTGGAGGCCCCTTATTATTTACTAGAGGCCTCTGTAATATTTGTGTACACCAACACGCCATTTATTGGTTTCTAAAAAGTTGGCAAACTTTTTTAAGCTTATTTAATGGGAAAATATGTCACAACAACCAAAATTACAAAGCAACATAATCTGGAGACTCCCTGCTTTTCCTAGGCCCCTGTGTTGTGTATGTTATAGGAATAAACGTATCACAACCTGAACGTGCAACTTTCGTAGTATCCATCAAATGCTTTTGCATCTACTGTGAGTGTAGCGGCAATAAGTGCAAATGGAAAACCTGTCCATTTATTGTTGGAAACAAGTTTTGTATCAAAAATCAACTTATGTCATGCCACAGATGATTGGAAACATTTTTATTATCATCGGCGAGTCACATTTTAAATTTGAAAAGATAACAAACCACTACATTAAAATTTTGATACGAAAAAATTCATCCCAGACCAGCCTACCCCACGTGACAACAGCAGCCTTCCTCGCGAAGTGTCTGACGTGGGAGTTGAAGACTTTGACGATGGTGGAGAACATGTGGTGGGCCTCTACACCGTTCCACAGCAGAGTCACGAATGCCATGTAGTACCTGGTCGTTTGGAGGGTTGAATGTTTCTTGCATTTTTAAGTCACTATGGAAAACTTATCATTTCAATCTTTGTACTATCTAAAAGAAGTTTTTATTTTCGACTCAATGATGTTTGCAGTGACGTTCAAATCTCTTGCATGCATAAAAGCTAACATGCGATATTTCACAAATTTTCAAACGCGATTTAATTTTTGGCAATATCCAAAATTCGTTTTTTATTCAAAATAAGAGCCAAACATTAAAGTTGTGAGAAAAACTTCGTAACCAAAAATAGTAGGTATACGTAAACTAACAATTCAATTCGTATTCAAATCCAAAAGTTGCACAAGTTTTGGTTATATATTATCAGCTGAAATAAACATTTTGCTACAATTTGAAACATCTATTTAACAATTTTTGACAAACCAAAATTCTGCGTTTTGCGCTTCTAATATTATGAAAATTTTATGTCAATTAAAACTATTTTTTTTAAGAAACTGCTGAGCTGAAACGTCTATAAACCCAGTAAATTCAAGAAGCAAAAAGTTTGTGTATCAAGTAAACGAGAGAAGCAAACACTGACCTGAGAACGTTGAAGATCCGACATTCCGTACCGACAAGATCTCTGTATCCGGCGATGATGAATATGAAGTGGAAAAGTATTAGGGAGATGCAGAGATTCAACAGGATTCTTGTCGGAGTGCCTTTGTGGGCTTTTCTGTGCAAGTGCAAGATTCCATTTCATTGCAAGATCTCAATTCATTGCAAGGTCTTATTTCATTGCGAAATTTTTTTTTTACATGCCTACCTAGTCTATTGCTAGAACCATTTGAAAAAACTATTCATAAATTTATAGATTTTGTTTAGTAATTTACATACATTTATAAAACAAAAATAGTTTTTCATGTTGACACGAAAGTTTTATGAAAAAATTAACGTCGATTTTATAAAAAATAAATGAGAGACTTGATGAAGGTGAAGTTGATGACGGTGAGGAGGAGGCAAACGATGGAGATGACCTTGATGGCGACCGAGGCTGTCTTCAGGTGGGGCACTTCTGGAAAATTCTAAACAATTGAATACTCTTCAATACAATAAATTCTACATGTTGTAAAAAAGCAAAATTTTTACAAAATAAGATGACACTGTGTCCTTTGTCCTGGATGACTTTTTACCGATTCCATCCCAAACTGGTTCTGGCAGAAGCTGGAAGATAAATTGTTTGTAATACACTAATCCAAGTTTTTATTTTATTTATTATTATTTATTATTTCTTAGGCATTATCGGCATTATTTTTAGAAGTGTGCTTGATAATATGAAACCAAAAAAACTTTACCATAATAGGCTCTCGTTGTACGAAAATTCCAAAGAGTCCATTTTGGTGAGAAGAGCAGAAAACATTGCCACCCTCTTCATTCGATGTCCCATTTTTTAAAAGCCAGTTGATGTTATGCATTTTGACGAAACCAACGGTGGATTTGCTACAATCCGTGTAGTTGTTTTCAAGGCATTTCAGATAGTTGAGGTGCTGGAGTGCAACCAGACCGATGTCTTTCCGATTGTATGAATGGTGGCCACATTGCATCGTCTATGGGAATGTTTTTTCTTATCATCAACCTCTACATGAACCTTGAATAATTCATAGGAAGACTGAACATTTTTAATGATAGCTGCTGCTTATATTAATTTCAGTCGCGCTTACATTATGTTTATTTAAATTGACTTTTGTTCTTACATCTAGAATATTATGATTTACTTTAAAGATTAATTAACCATCTTCGAAACAAATGAGAATGTATTAAACTTCATTTATCGCCCTAAAATTAAATCAAAGTTTAGAATGGACTTTAAAAAACAGATTTTAGAAAGATTTTGAAGAATTATCTTTCCAAAGTATTTTTTTAACAACAATTTTCTTCAAACAAAATTCAGTAGGTAGGCCTACATATGAAAATTTTCAAAAATTGAAGTTAAAATCCACAGAGCAAGTTAACATGAAACACGTACCATATTCGTTGGATGAGCTCTGTTGAAACCGATTTGGATCACTAGATCGCCCGGATCCTTGGAAAAAATTTGTGAAAAATAGTAATAATTATAATAATAACATTATTATTATTAGAATAAAACATTTTAAGTTATTTTAATATAGCAAACTTGGATGACTGGATTTACCAAATCCTGTCTTACATACACTTACATTAATCAGTCAGTTGGTCAGTCGGTCGGTCGGTCAGTCGGTCGGTCGGTCGGTCGGATTGTTGGTCAGTCAGTCACAGTCAGTCAGTCAGTCAGTCAGTCAGTCAGTCAGTCAGTCAGTCAGTCAGTCAGTCAGTCAGTCAGTCAGTCAGTCAGTCAGTCAGTCAGTCAGTCAGTCAGTCAGTCAGTCAATCAATCAATCAATCAATTAGCTAGTAAACTGCTATTTCCGTGATGTTCAACAGCGCTCCTAATTAATCAGAAATTAAAATACCATTTTAAGTTTCGAGTCCAGATTTTCAACGTGCACATAAACCAGTGGGCTGATTAGTTTGTAATGGATTGTGTCCGCTGCGAAGTATCTGCTTTCGTTGGACTTGAAGAATGCCATGCTGATTATCCGAGTGACAACATCACCTTCAAATTTTTGAAACATGCCGCTTGTGACGTGGCATCGAAATATGCAAAAGAGCTATGAACATGAGCACACGTTGGGCGGCACACACACACACACACACACACACACACACACACACACACACACACACACACACATGAACACACTTTTATGCAAACACACACACATACACACACCACACCCACACATACACATTACACGCATATACACAGACATCTGCACACATTTCTTGGCATACACACACGTACAGGCAGACATTAAATACAAAAATGTATTCAAAAAGTCTAACAAATAAAAATGTGGTGTTTCTTATAATATTCAATGTTACATGTTAATAACATCTTTGTTAGTATATGCTTATTTTTGAAGGGCTCATAGGCTGTGAAAACACTGAGAGAAGATTAAAAAAAATTGTTTTTATTTTAGATCACACGCAATTTAATTTGATGATCTCGATGAAAGAAAATAGAGTGTTTAAACAGCCGACATGAACTGATAAGAAGCGTCTGAATGTTATCAGACGGCAGTTTGATAACGCTGATATCGTCAAGTGCAGATATTTCCTCAAACCCTTTAACATTATTCGATTCTATAATCTTTCAATAATACATGCGTTCACAAGCATGTGTAATTCTATATAATTGAATTTGAATGTAACTGTTCAATGCCTTCAATTTTATATTTACGTCAGAGTATAACAATGTCACTTTATAAAAGTTTTTGTTAGTCTATAATCGTTTCTTAATATGTTTCTGTGTTGTTGTTGATGTATTTGCAACTAAATTTTTTTGAACCACAAAATTTATAAATATGTAATTAGGGGCTAGTAAAGGAAGAAACATAATTGGATAGTTGCATCGATCACTCACTCCTCGTCTGCTTCCATCTTGCCAGCACCTCCACAGATTCCTCTGAATGTTTCACGAAATGTCGATTCATTTCTACATCTTTCGTGATGATCTCTGAAACTATCAAATTTCTACCCGGCAAGTAGTTTGTGTAGTTTTTTAAATTGGATCCAAGAATGTATCTCGATGTGTGCAGCAAGTTGTCAAAGTCCGCCATCATTTGAGAAGAGTTCCAATGAAATTCTTGCTTCTTCACAGTACTATCGGGCAGAAGATACAACGATGATGGGGAATAATTGTCAATTTCTTCAGTTAGGTGCTGACTTGTTAACGTTTTGAAATCGTTGAACATGACTATGAAGTCTTGCATGTCCACAATTCTTGAGATATTATTTAGTAAATTAATTAAACAGTTTTTGTAATTTTAAAATTCATTCATTATATTTTATCTGCTAACCAGTCGCATATAATTCATCAAACAAATACCTTTCGATGAAGGCTTTGTAGGTCCTCCAATAATACTCATCATGCAACTGCATTATCACATTTAGCAAATCAAAAAATTTCTTCGCCATTTCATCAGAGTTATGCCCCATTTGAAACTTCTCCACCAGACACCAGATACCTTCGTCTAGAGTCAGTTGGACAAAGAAATTGAAATCGTTTTGCAAAATATCTCTATCGAATAACTGCCCCTCATCATCCTCGTCATCATCTATCAGTCTGTAGATGGCGTCTATATGGTCCAGCGTCAAATCGCATGTTGTCCGGTTGTTGGTGAGCTTTTGGGGTGGAAGTTTTTAATGGCATGTTTATTGGCAGAAAATATGAAATATAAAATAATATAAAATTTTATAGAATATAAAATTTATTTCTAACAATTTTTGTTTGGATTTACTTAGAGGTGTCAGCAACAAAAACAGCGTCTGCATTCGAACCTGGTCATTGCAACATCAGTGCCAGGCATCTTAACTAAAGCAACAACGCGCCTTAATTTTAATACAATTTTTAATTGAAAAACAAGTTTAACTTATTGAATGTTTCATCTCGTTGTACCTTCTTGGAGATACTTATCACCGAGACTTGTTCTGAGAGAGGTGGCATAGGACAGGCGGAGTCATTTGGATTTGTCAAATTTATTTCCAGCTCTACATCATTCAGTTTTGAAAGGATGCAGTCTCTATACATGTAGTAAGTTTCGTCTGCTGGCTTGTCTTGACCGAGAAAATAGATTATTTTATCTCTGGCGTAATGAAATCGACATTTGTGAAGGTATCGCTCGCCTAAGATGACAACATTTAGTGGGGAAAAAATTAATTTCAAAATATTTTTGATTTTCTAAATAAAAAAAACAACTCAAACCCAAAAGTAAAGATGGCCACTCAAAGGATTTATTCTGAATGACCGCAACGCTGGCATAACATTGATCTGTTTTTTTAATACGGTGGATGAAAGTTAGGTTAATTCTATCTTTTGGTGGAGTGCATTTTGTGTTTGTATGTGTGATTGTGGAGTGTGTGTGTAATGTGTGTTGTCTGTGCGTGTGAAGTGGTGTGT